TTTTGGCCTCACATGCGGGACGGTGTCGATGCATGTGTGAAGACTTGTCTTGTCTGCCAACAAGACAAAGTGGAGAATAAACAACCGGCAGGGTTACTGGAGCCTCATCAAATGGATTACCCAAGTACGAGGCAACGTGGAAGACGAATGAAGACTTGTGGAAATTTCGAGATCGTCTCCACTTGTTCGAGGCAACGAGGACGTCGCCGGATTAGGCGGGGGAGGATGTCACGGCCCGCTAGTTTTGACCCAACCCCTTGCCGATTTCCCTTGAGTTGGGGAGGTTAAAGAGTCCAAGAATTAGCCCAAGTAGGGTTAGGCCCAAGTTGGCCCAATTGTATAGTGGTAGGTAGAGCCATTTTTGGTAGGTAGAGGTAGGTGGTGGTAGGTAGAGACAATCAAGGGATTGTTCCACTCCCATCCGTTAGATCATATCGATCTCCACCGTCCATTGAGGAGGTGGTCTTGTATAAATAGAGGTAGGGTCCTCATTTGTATTCATTCAATCCAACAATCCAACAAGTATTCAAGTAATAAAGTACTTTTCCTACCAACTCTCTTGTCTTCTTACTTTCTTTCTTCGTTTCCATCACTTAAGTATTCGCAACACAATTCGAGAGAGGCTGACTTAGCTATCGCGAGGGGCGAGAAGGAGCTAAGGCCGCACGGTTCTTTGTTAAGGGAACAAGTCCGTGACACTAAGGCCTCTTTTGATTTGGTGGACAAGATAGATTATTATTGATGGACTAATTAAACTTTCACCGTTAAGGATTGCAAAATCCTCTTTATTCTCCATTTTGGTTTGCATTATTGCAAAATTTGGGACCTTTGAGGTTTGTTGTTTGGTCTACCAGTTTCAACTGGATTATATGTGAAATGTCAATAATGCCCTTACAACATCCCTATATAATAACTATATTCCTGCAATTCCACTTCATCACAACTGATATTAGCACATATTCACCAATCTCAAATCAATTCTTGTTCACAAATATTTTGCATATTACCATGCAATATGTAACAGATTCAAAATTACATACCAAAGTGCAGAAACATAAGAACAAAATACCATTATCTACAATATAATATTTAAAGATAAGTAGCGAGCTTTAGGGGTGAGCTAGTCGGACTCACCAACCCGTTGAAATCGTCAAATCCGGTAAAAAATCGTCCCGCTAGGACCGGATGGATAGATCTATCAATAATATTGGATCCTGAAATGGAGAAGATCCGCAAGTTTGGGTCTAAGACAGGTTCAAAAAAAATTAATACCCGTAAAACCCGTCTCGTCCCGCCATACAAAACGACGTCATTTTGTTTATACTATGTAGTATAATAAATTAATAATATATACTACATGAATAAAGTATTTCTTACATGTCAAAACTTATATCTATAACGACTACATCGTCTCGTTTTGCCTATAGTCATCTATTTTATTTTAATTGTTGTTTTATAAAATTTTGAATTTAGTTACTCTTTTTAACGAATTTATGGTTAAAACATATTAATTTTGATTTACTCTGATATTTATTATTGATGTTATTCACGTTGGTTTCAATTTAAAATTTTAAGCTTGGTCATTCATTTTAATTTCTAAATAGTTTCGCGTAAAACTTATAAATTATTAAAAATAATAAATTTTAATTATGACGAGTTTCGACTCGTGAAAATTGGGTCCTACTAAACCCGCCATGGACCCGTCTATCCTAAACTCGTCGAAAACCCACAAGTTTTGTTCCTTAAAATCAAGAACCATTAATTGATAAGAAGGTGGTGGGTTTCGCTAGAACCCGCGATTTTATGACCCGCGCAACCCCTAGCGAGTTTCACCCCTTTCAAACATGAGTAACTATGGAGCTTAAGTCAATTGATACACTATTGTTTGCATTTCCTATTTGGTGACTTGATTTGGTTAGTTCGCATTTTGATGCTCGCCATCGTTGTTCATATTGACACAATTTTCCTCGGCCACCAACTCCTCGTTAGAGTCGGCCCTGGACCAGGGCGAGCAGGGCCCAGGCCCAGGGCTCATTTGTCAACAGGGCTCCAAATTTTTCCTATTTTCAGTCCTCTTTTTCTTCTACTAACAAGAAAAGCACTCATTTTTTTTTATTTTGACTTTTCAACTCCTTCCCCTACATGGTTATCGGATCGTAAAAATATCTCGTATCGTTTTTCTCCATGTCTTGTATCGTATTGTAAGATATTTAACCAAATATTAAAATAGTAAAAAATATATATCTACATTATAAAAATATTATAAATATGTAAAATTTAATGTAACTACTTATTTCAAAATAGATATAAATTCAAGTTTCAACATCATAGTATAAAATATGACAAAAATCATATATGTTCATCAAATAACATCATCTAAGAGGGTGTTTGGCTAGGCTTATAAGATGTTAAAACGAGCTTATAAGATGTTTAAGAGTTATTCTAGTGTGTTAGGTAATTTTTTTAAAAGATCTTTAAAAGTCAAAATATTATAGGCTACTGTAGAGCAAATAAGATTTTTTTTAAAGTATATTTACCCCACCTATTTATTTAAGATCTTATAATGAGTAAAATAGCTTGTAAGATCACTATCCAAACACTTGAAAAAAATAATTTTAAAAGTAAGACGTAACAACTTATCAACTCTTAAAACAACTTATCAGATGTAAGAGTTTATCAACTGTTTAAAATAAGCTTAGCCAAATTGTCCCTAAGTTCAAATACGAATACCTAATTTCTAAAATATTCGATATCTCATAATTTTGAAGATCAATGTCACTTAAATCGTCATCATCTACCAATTTTAAATGATTGCATTCGTCATCATCAATCGCAAAATCCAACAAAAAAAGCCTCGAATTGGTCTTGAATCGCAAGAATTTATAGAAATTGAATTAGGGTTGTAATATTGTGAGGGTTTGTGAAGAAATTGAAGAGAAAAATGTGAATTAGGGCTGGGATATTGAAGAAATCTGTTCAAAACCGTTTTTCGGAGTAGTTGACTGCATTTTTTTCGTTTTTTTCTGCATTTTTTTTTCATTTTTTTAATTGTTGACTAATATCGTCAATATCGTATCGTATCGTGATACAACGATACGATACGATATCTCGCGATTTTTGACGGTATTTATCAATAAGCGATACATAAATCGAGTTGTATCGTTTTGATTGGAACCATACTATATCGCAATATATATCGCGGTATATCGCGAGATTAACTACCATGCTCCCCTATCACTAATGCTTTTACCCAATTCTTTTTGTTCTTAAATACTACTCCCACTTTTTCCATATATGTCTTTTTACTCCTATTTTATTTTTCTCTCGGGTGAACCCCTATACTATTTTATATTTCTATTTTTCTATAAGTTATACTTTAATTCTTGTTTTAATCATTATTGGTTTTTTATTTCCTAACATTAAACTAGTTTTGTTAAAGTAAATAATTTTTTTAATATAATTTTATTAATTTTTTTTTACTAAAAGAAAAATTCATGATAATGACTCGTTAAAAATCTTGATTACCATAAAAATTTGGACCATATCTCGATTTATGGGTGTCATCCTTGTGCAGGCGCCATGCTAATCTTCTCTGTATTGTTATTAAATATGTTTATAATTTACATGTATATATTTTCAAAAAAAATCGAGGATGTTCCCTATTTAAAAAAAAACAAATTAGGTACCGAACCCCGTATTATATAGGGGCACAATTTTGTGTTTTGCCCGGGGCCCAAAAATACGCCGCACCGGCCCTGCTCCTTGTTTGCCAGCTTCTCGGAGTCCTTCGGAATCTACCAATACGATATTTTGTATTCGAACAATATCACACAAATATGAAATTTTGTGAACATGCAAAGAATGTCAAAAGGACATGTAATCATAATAAATAGTCATCTTTAGAGAGTCACAATTAAACTCCAGTTCAATAAAATAAGTTTAAAAAATAATTATGTAATTTATCAAGAACATCTGACGCACACAACAAAATTTACTAAAATGCACAAATATAATGTTGTAAGCGAAGAATCAACAACAACTGACACACACAACATCAAAGATGTGCACACCCAAAGGTTCAATTTATCAGATTTTCGGCCAACGTAAAACAGGATACCACGAATCCTTTGAAAATAGAAAGCGTAAACCATAAACCTCTAGCGATTAGAATTGGTATTCAGATCTACCATGAATTAAAACGCACAATTCAGGTTTCGGTTCCTCCAAAACAATATCTCTTGTTACCAGTAAATAAAATTACATCCATAAAAAATATATTTCATTTTATTGCAGTAAAAGCGGTTAATGATCATAATACCGTTGTGAAAAGGGGTTAGTGTATCAAGGGGAATGATTGAATTGTGTTACTAGTGTTTATATCAGAGCATTTAGTTAATCGTGCGATGGTGGAGGTATTTTACGATATTATATATATATGTCTTTTGATGACCAATTAGACATTCACATGCAACTTTATTTGGTTTAGATACCGGATTAGACAATCTAACGGGGTGTGGGTGGATTCATAATCAGTTGGATGGAGGATTTGTGTAGCGCGGGCGTTATAATACTTGATTACGCCTTTACGCCTGATTAAAGATCATATCACCCCTAATCAAGCAAACCTAAGAGGCCTAAAAGTATTCTGCTCATAATAAAATGGATATTCCATGAAACCTATTTTGATTCCATTACTATTAATTTTGTGAGAGTAAATTCATTAGATGGAGAATGCCTTAGGAGTGCTCGTAATTATGCAAACAATGAGGGTTTTTTGGTAACGAACCTTATCTCAGGGTGTCCTCGTAATTTGCTCTAAATTATTGGAATCAAGGTTATGGTGTATATTGTACCGTATCTTCCCTAGAATTCAAATGGCAAACAAACATTGCAATAACACCCAAAAGCCCAAAGAAAAAAGGAAAAAAAAAAAAAAAAAAAAAAAAAGAAAGTCAAGATTATTAAATGAACCCAAAAATAAACAAAAACAATAAGCTTGTGGAAATGGATGGCAACCTCTCTCTCTCTTCACCTCCACAAAAACGAAATTACCAATTATCCATTCAGTGCTCTACTTACTACACATTTCTCTATACCAGAAATCAATGCCCCGCCCGCCTTCTTTAACTTCCCCTCGTTCGCCTTTCCAATAATAATAATCATAAAAATAATCTTCTGAAAATCATAAATCATGATTATAAATCTCCCTTCATCTTCTTCCTCTCACTCTCTTCTCAGATTCATCAATTCAAAAACACCCATTACAGATTTCTCCTTAAAGCCCAAAACCCACTTCTCCAAACCCTTATCTTCTTCTCCATGTTCCAGATTTTCCACCACCAGCAACAACAGCAGCAGCAGCAGCCTATTGCTTTTCAAGAATACAAGATTCCGACAAGGTACGAGGAAAAAGTTTACAACTTTGGCCATAAACGGGTTCGATTTCGAGAACGCGCAGTCAGTTGTTGAAGCGGTTGCAGTACTGACAGCTATTATCATTGTCCACGAAAGCGGCCATTTTCTTGCAGCTTATCTTCAGGGGATTCATGTGAGTAAATTTGCAGTTGGGTTTGGTCCGATCTTGGCTAAATTTAATTCGAATAATGTGGAGTATTCAATTAGGGCTTTTCCTCTTGGTGGGTTTGTGGGTTTTCCCGATAACGATCCCGATAGCGATATTCCGGTCGATGATGTGAATTTGCTGAAAAATAGGCCAATCTTTGATAGGGTTCTTGTTATTTCTTCTGGTGTGATTGCTAATATTGTGTTTGCTTATTTGATTGTTTTAGTTCAAGTGTTGTATGTTGGGTTGCCTGTTCAAGAATCGTTCCCCGGGGTGCTTGTGCCCGAGGTTAGGCCGTTTTCAGCTGCTTTACGAGACGGTTTATTGACCGGAGACGTTATTTTAGGTGTTAATGATTTTGAAATCTCCAAAACAGGTCCGAATTTAGTAACCGAAGTTGTTGACGTTATTCGAAAAAGTCCCAATAAAAAGGTATTGTTTAAGATCGGTAGGGGAGGAGAGAACCTCCAAATTAATGTCACCCCTGATGAGAGTACAGACGGTACGGGCCGAATCGGAGTTCAATTATCTCCAAATGTGAAGTTCTCCAAAGCTAGGCCGAAGAATGTGTTCGAAGTTTTCACTTATTCGGGCCGTGAATTTTGGGGCCTAACGTATAACGTCGTGGACAGTTTGAGGCAGACGTTCATGAATTTCTCTCAGTCGGCAAGTAAAGTTTCGGGCCCTGTTGCCATTATAGCTGTGGGTGCTGAGGTGGCGAGGTCGAATTCTGACGGGCTTTATCAGTTTGCTGCTATTTTGAATCTTAATCTTGCGGTGATAAATATTCTTCCACTGCCTGCATTAGACGGTGGTTCTTTGGCGTTGATACTCGTAGAGGCGGCAAGAGGTGGGAGAAAGCTCCCTTTGGAATTAGAGCAAACGATTATGTCTTCCGGGATTACGCTTGTCCTAATTCTTGGGGTGTACCTCCTTGTTCGTGATACGTTAAACTTGGAGTTCATTAAGGATTTATTATAGTACTCGGGTTTTGGGTTATAATTTGTGTCATACACTTTTGTTCTGTATCGTATATAAGGATTCTTGGTGTATGAAATTGCTTCCTTCGGTTCTTGTGGCATCTTTTAAAGGTGAGATGATATGGCATACACGAAGTTGTGAATTGTTTTTTTTTTCTTTTTTTTGTGGAAATTTGTCGATTTCTGTACTAAGTTACTTGAAGCTGCTTTTATTCTCATGCGCAGCTTTTCACATTCTAGTAATACAGATTTTCGGTATTAATTTCATTTGCGTCCTTAAATAGCAAATTAGCATATAGTTGTTATCTGTCAACTGTTTCGTTTTCGAGTAACATTCTCTGTAGAAAGATTTGAAAAATGGTAGCCTCAGATTTGTACCTGGAAGTGTTGGAGAATTGAATGTGTTGTTGGTTTTAGAATTAGTTGTTCTGGTTATGAATTATCATTACAGGGTATAGGAATTGAATACATCTCCTACTTTGGTGCGTAGCTCATTGAAAAGTACAAAAACAATATTATATAGTAACTCTTATCATTTTGTTTACACTCAAGAAATGTATAATAGTGGGAGAGAATGTAAGTGTCAACAAGAAGTTGGAAATTTATCTTATATACAAAAGTAAGTTGTATAGTATCGTATATACAAAAGTAGGGACCTTCTAGGGTGAGATCCCAAAAACTAGGGGTATTTTCTCTGGTCGGTAAATTGTCCAAATCGAAAATAAGGTACGTGTCAATTATCGAATTGAAAATTCGTTTTGGTATTCGGTGATTTGTTTTTGAATTCTGGTATTTTGTACTGTGTATGGTATTGATGTCCGTATTATCGTACCGTATCGAATATATATATATATATATATATATATATATATATATATATATATATATATATATATATATATATATATATATATATATATATATAATTCTTTTATTTTAAATCCTCTTTAAGGTAAAAAGAAATTATAAAATACTTATAGATTGATATTTTTCCATTATTTACAAATTAGCCTCTATTAATAATCACTTTTTATTTTTAGGGTCAATTATTGAAATTTGAATGTCAAGTTCAAGAATTAATTAATTTAAATATTTTTTTTTTATCTTTTTTAAAAATAAGAAAACATATTTTCGATTTTAGCGGCACGAAACCGAGAAAACCAAATTATATTCGTAAGAAATCGTACCGCACTGAATAGTTCGGTTCGGACTTCTGGTCTGCGGAAGTGGGCCACTGCCCGTCAGCCACATGGCGAGCTCGTTGAGACCCACGCCCACTTGAAAGAAGGTATTCAGGTGCGAATAAGGGATGGTAAGAACACATCTATGTGGTGCAACCCGTGGATTCTTCATGATAGTCGTCCGAAATTTTTCACGCCGAGGCCAATGCACTCGTTTTTTCCTAATATGGTGGCGGACCTTAGACACGGCCACAGGGCGGGTCAGGGTCCTACTTTTTTAGGATTCGAAACCGACCCGTGTAGAGGCGGGACCGGGTCCGGGTCAGGTCCACTCGAGTCCTTCCGGGTCTTAGCCCAAAATCGGTTTTTGAATTTTTTTTTTAATTTAATTTTATTATTTTCACATACATCAAAAAAAAAAAAAAAAAAAAAAAAGAAGCTAAATTTAAAGAACTTAAGCTTAGTTTTAAATTCAAAATTATAAAATTTTAAATTTAAAACTAAGTTGCCTACGTATCCGGTACGGAATCAAAGTCCACGTAGTTCTCTTTCCTTCACTTACCTTTTAAGTCGTTGCTGCCGCCGGGTGAAGTTGCATTCCCACCTTCTGTAGGAACATATTTATCATCGTCGTCGTCTTTGTAGATATGGTCATCTTTGTGTCTGTAGTCGGTTTTTGTCCAATCTCCCAAAAGCATTTGATTTTTTAAATTGTCGGCACCGAAATTGCTTCTTGTTTGATCCAACACTCTACCGGCTAGACTAAAGGCGGATTCGACCGCAACAGTGGAGACGGGACAGGCGAGAACATCCTCGGCAATATGTGCCAAAATTGGAAACAATGAACTCTTTGACTTCCACCACACTAGTATGTCAAAATATGTACTTTCTGTGAAATCAAATCTAACGGTTAAATAACTCTCAAGTTCTAATCGTTGATTGGAACTTGAGGATGAGGACCTTGGGCGCTTGAAGCGCTAATGCAATAAACGTTGGGTCGCCAACATAGTAGATGTATCCGATGTTAAAGCAGGATCGTTATTTGGAACATTAGATGTTCCAAATATAGTAGCATATTCATCATAAAGTTCATTTAATAATGCAGGCGAAGTGCTAATAAGAGTAGGTACGTTAGGAAGTGGAGGGCAATCAATCAATGATATATTTTTTAGACAAATTCTCGTAATATATTTGTAGCATATCAGGTAATAGACCAAGCCTAAGTATCTAAAATTGTAGCAACCAAATATAGTTCAGGAATATTTATATAATATTTGCAGAATTTTTTCTTAATTTCATTTCGATACGGAACTAAAATTTCAATTTGCATAGCTTCATTAATAACACCGACAATATTGCATAACTGATAAACAACTAAATGACCAGTAGGATAATAAGTACCAGATAATAAATCATAACTTTCGGAAAAAATGCTTAAAACATTACAAATTTTCAAGCATGTATCCCATTAAGTGGGTAAAATATAAATTCCACCCTCAGGAAATTCCGTTTGAAAAAAATTGACATATTAATTCTTTCAATAAAGCTACATGGCCAGATTATGGCCAGCCAGAAAATGGCAATATTGTAAAATTGGAAAAAGTCACAAAGTGTAATTACTATTATACCCCTACAAACTATTAATATTAAACTTACTTACATTTCTCTTCCTCATTTCCAGACCCGGGTCAACCCGGGATATTCTTTGTTCAGTTTCGAACTTGGGTCTTGTGGGTCTTCCAGGGGACCCACTGATTTTTAATGAGGAGATTTGGCCCAAAAATGCTTCAAATAAGAATCGAACCTGGGTCGCCGGAATGCATATAGTAAGTACAAACCATCAGGCTGATCCCATAATTGGAATATAATTGCAAATAAATATATATAATACACTTATACTATAAAATGATTATAATTATTATATAAACAATGTCAAATAAATTATTAATTGTCGTATTCATTATATTCAATAATTTTAATTAATATTAAGAAATTTAATATATTAAATTTTAAAAAATATAAAGAACCGCAGTTCAACTCTCCCAAACATCTATCATTATTTAGGTTCCTTCGACCCTACACCCGGTGAAAAACACCGGGTGTGTCTTCTGCTGCCACGTGTTCTTTTTTTTTATTTTTCTAAAATCCATAAAGGTAAACCCTAGCGGGGAATCTATTATAAAATACAAAAAAAAGACACGTGGCAGCAGAAGACCCACCCGATGTTTTTCACCGGGTGTAGGGTCGAACAAATCCATTATTTACTGTAATATATATATATATAATATATATATAAATGCATGACTTGATACTTAGTTTAATCAAATAGTAGATTTGGAGTAATTACACTCAAGTTCTTTTAATTCTTAAATTTTATTCATAATTTTGAATCGATTGACATCAATTATTGACAAGAACGTACTGAAATTGTTGATTATTTTATATAGGAAAATCATTGAAAATAATTTATTTATAAAAAAAATGTAGATGATATTTATTTAATAAAAATAAATTATAACAAATTCCAATTATTGAGAAGAACATATTTATAAAAAAAAAAATATAGATGATGTTTATTTGAAAAAAAAACATATTATAACTTATTCTAATTAGTATTTATATTTTAAAATAAAACTATAGATGATGAGTAAAATAAAAATATTACATTTGTGATTTTCTTTTAATACTTGGTTGATTAGTTTTTTAAAGAAGATATTAAACGAATTTACTATTTATAATTAAAGTATAATATATTTTAATTAAATTTTATCATAAAAATAATATTAATACAATTCCTTAAAATCGTAAGAATTAATCTGTTAATCGTAAGATTTGAATCGGTTAAGATCAAGTTCTTTCAATTCGTAAGCTTTATTCAAAGATTTGAATTGATAAAGCTCAACTATTGACAATGACGTATTCATCAAATTAACTAAGTAATATCTTTTTAAGTGAATTTTATTGTATAAAAATAATAAAATTTAATCATTTTTTGACATTTACATTTTATTTAAATATTTAAATTGAATCTTTGGATTTAAATGGATTAAACTCAAGTTCTTTTAAAAAAAATATATTATTATTATTTTTTTATTATATTGCATTTTCAATAATTTAATTAATATTATTAAATAATAATGAATGTGCTAATTAATAATCTATTTATTATTTATCATAATGATTACTGTTCCTGCTAGTTATTTCGTTAAGTTGTTCTATGTCTCCGTGGTTAGGTAAATCCTTTACCTTTTTAGCAACCCGAGTTCGAATTTCAACCACAGCTTTTTCGGATTAAAATTCCAGTTTGGGCCTAGACCCGGTCCGAACCCGGACCCGGCAGTAAATTTGGAACCAGACCCTTATTAAGGGGTAGAAACGGTATTAAATAAAATATTAAAAAAAAAAATTAAAAAAAAATCAGATTCTGGCTGGCCAGATTCTGCATTTAGCATTGTCCTAATTCTTTATATGCACAAGTTTGTTTTAAAAGTCTATATGTTGAGTTCCAACGAGTTGGAGTATCTCTGTTAAATCTAACTTGATGTATGTGGTGGGCTTGACAAAACTCCCACCATTGTCTGGTAACCGACTTGTGTCACCATATGTATTGAATACATGCTCTAATTTTAGTACTATGCGTTACTAACATTCGTAAACCATCATATTGCACACATAAATTTAAAATATGACATATGCACCTAATATGAAAAAAAATTCCCCTACATGCTGACTTACATGCAGCTACACAATCAGGGATATAAGCCGTATTGGCACTTTCGTTATCGAATGAAATTGAAAAAAAAAATTCAGTTAATAAATATGAATCTAACACATAGCGAAGTGATTGTGCAATTTCAGATGCAGTATGACCAGTATTCATAACAGGAAAACCAATTTTTTTTCAAGTTTCCATGCACGATTAATACAATGACATATTACACCCATATAGTCATTACGACCCCAATGATCACTCCAAATATCAGAACAAATAGAAACTTTGTTGTCTAGCATAAGAAATTCCTGTACTAGAAACCAATTCTTTTGTAGTTAGAGTAGATGTAGTTTTTGGTTGACAAGAACA